TTATTTAATTAATAATTTAATTACTATTTTATTAGTTTAAATTATAAATTTTATTATTAATTATCTCATTAATCACTTAAGATTTCTATTGCTTTGTAATTATTTAACTATTATTTATATTATTAATTCTATGTTTAATAATGTATAGTATAATTATACTAATTTCTAATTACTAATTATTTTATTAAGTTAAATTAGATAATTAATTTATATACTAATTCTACTATTAAATATTTAATTATTTTACTTAGTTATTAATATTTTAAATTATATTAATTAAGTTAAATAGTGATGGCTGAGGCGTCTAGGGTGTCCTTGCTGTTCGGCTCGTTGCTTCGCAGGAGGTGCGCTTCTTCGGCTCGTCGCTGTTCGACTTAGCTCCTTCGACGACGTTCCCTTCCTGTCGGATCGGACGTTACAAAATTTTGATCTGAAGCAACGACGGGAGCTCGCTAGCTCGCTGTGAAGGTAAGTTTCTCCCTTTCGCGCGCTTCTTCGGCCAAATCCCGTAAATCCGACTTCTAGATTAGGATTTACCTGGATTTAGCGGATTTACCCGGATTTACGGCGACTTTGTTGCGTTTGGCTGGATTTACCCTAAATCCTACTAAAAACTAGAAATAAATCCGATACCAAACACCCCCTTAGGCTTTATTTGAGATGACTTTCTTTTTTGCTTCTTGAATCAGTAGTATAAAAAAAATAATTTTTTTATGAAGCAGTAAGAAAACTGTCTCAAACAAAGCCTTAGACTTCATTTGGGATTATTTTTTTGTTGCTTCTTAAAGTAGCTTTTTAGTACAAAAATTAAAATTTTTATACTAGAAAACTGTTTTAAGAAACAACAATAAAGTCATCACAAAGCCTTGTTCTGGGAGTACCCAGTGCTTTTTTTGTTGAAAAAAATAAAATGAGGATAATACAACATTGATTCAACAACTCCTACCCCGACTTCCCTTAAATATTTCTTTAGAAAAACCAATCAATTCTTTTTAACTATGTCTAGGAAAGATCATGGCTACGTTTGTGATAGCTTTCTTACTGTTTCTTAAAAAAATATAGTATAAAAATTTAATTTTTGTACTAAAAAAATTGTTTTAAGAAATAGTAAGAAAGCCATCCCAATCAAAGCCTATATAAGGCCATGCAAAACAGGACATTGCGATAATTCAACTTTATAATAGCGAATGATCGATTCACCATTGAGAGCATTAACCCCAAAAGGACGAATATTGTGGTGTTCTAACTGCGGCAGATCAAACAAGAAAAAGATGAGCAAAAAAAAAAAAGAGCAAATGAAATCCGAAGCCCACCTTAATCCATTCTTTTGTTTAGGGTATGGCACTGATTCCGGCCCTATTGTTAAAGTTAAAGTATATGTGTACAGATCCTGATTTGTGTTCATGAAGGCAAGGATAAATTTAAATTAACTAATTCTAGCACTTGTTTAATATTCCAGATAATGTCAATTTTGGTAGGTAGAGTCAAATAGAATTGGACTGATATGGAAAGATCAAAATGCTTGACAAAAGGGAAGGATTTTAGCTAAGTGGCAATTGTTGTAATATTTGATAAATCTCTTCAGGTGGATGCTATTATTGTTATGCTATCTAGGTTGTCAATGGGTAGGGCTTTGATTGAATTTGATATTTCCCTCTTCTTACGAAAGAAATTTGAATTGGCTCAACATCTAAAGGCTATTGGCAGAAGGTTTTGTTTGATTGTATTTCCCATATTAATCTTCTTGCATAGAATTTGGTGACAACTTCTAATAATGCTTGAAGGTCAGAAGGTTGTGTTTGGTTTGTATTTCCCTTGTTATTCTTCTTGCTTAGTATTTGGTGACAGCTTCTTATAATGCTTCAATCTGCACACATAATTGCAGAAACCTCCCAATATTTGTGACAGTGGGGATGATTTACTTGATAAAATCCAGTCTTCTAATGAAATGGTCGCAATTCCATTAGTTTTGATATATTTCCCTCAAAATGTGGAATGTAATTTGGATCCTTGGAATTAGTGCTTACGCTCATTATTAATGATCCAGTCCTCCAGTTCTTCTAGATCTTCGTGCTCCTGATGATCATGTTGATGCTAGGGATATAGGTGATCTGAAGTCTCTTTTTGTTGCATTAGCTATTAGCATTTGTTGCACAGAGGAGCTTAAATTCTATTTTCTAGGAGGGAAAAAATAACAGAAAAATGTTTCGTCACTCCATTTTCCAAAATATAATAGGCTCCAAGATTGATGATTTTAATGTTGATGGGGATTTTTCTTTTTTATTGGTCTTGTCGGTGTATATTATTTTTAGCTCTATGGGGGCAGGCATCAATTGGATCAATGGTGTTTGAAGGAGAAGAGGAGTTAAATACTACACAAATATAAGTTAAATATATTGTATCCTTGGATTTAGTAAACTAGGTTTATGGTAAAGTAGGGGAGAAACAGGATTTCAAATTATGTAGGATTTAAGTTTGTGACTTTCACCTTCTGGTAGGATTTAATTTAAGTCTTGCTTAAATTCTGCTTAAATCATGTTACCAAAAAGCTCCTAAAGTCTTTCCTGGGCTTACGTGTTGGCTTTGGATCATAAACCTCTGTCATATGCAAATTCCATAACCTTTCCCAATCTCTACTTCTTCCCTAGGCCTTTTCTCACTACAAACTTGAGAAAGGCTTAGACTCTTTGATGTAGAACGGGAGGTGGGGGAGATAATTTCAAACTCTGAAATTAATTGCAGATTTTGGTGGAACAGATTTAACAATTTCGAATTTTAAACAAGAAGAATAAAGGAGGGAAGAGGTAATTAATATTCCCTAATCTTAGGCCGTAAATTAATTTTAGACGGGAGAGTGGAGCGACCACATTCAATGTATGTGGATATTTGCATTGAATGTTGATTGATAACTTCAAATCTGAATTAATTTTAGATTTTCATCAATTGAGATTTGCATCAATTGAGGATGCTTCCTAAAATAGATGTACTAATTAGGAAAGCATTTGAAATTTGGGTATGGAATTAAAATCAATCAATTTCAGAATTGATTAATTAAATAAATAAAGAAACTTTCCAAAATTAATGAGGGTGGATTTGAAATTCAAATTAGATTAATTCGAATTTAAAATCTTTTCAAATTAATGACATCCTAAATAAGGAAAGAGGAGTTTTGGAGGAAAGTGATATTAGGCAAAGAGGTGGCTGGTGGGTGGGTGGGCCTTGTTGGATTTCGGCCAAGGGGAGGGAGGAGGAAGGGAGGGGTTGGTGTAGGCCGATGGTGTGGAGATGATGGGGTGAGAAGATCGACGCCTTGGTGGAGGGCTTGAGGAGGTGACAGTTTAAGGAAATAAGGAAAAATAAAAAACAAAGAAAAAAAAGATAGAGCTGCGATCCTTAGACTCTTCTGAAGACTAACGGGTAATGCGTTGCTCTTCACCAAGAGACTTCAAGCCACGAGCCCGGACCCATCTTGTGGCTGGTGGATACTACGATTCCATCCTTAGGGATTCTCACTAATGTCCTCCAAAAGAATAAAAGTGCAGAACAAAAAATTTTTTTTTTATTAAAACTCCATCATGTCAATACACTAGCAAGAGCCTCTATATATAGACCTCAGAAATAAAAGAAACTAAAATAAGACGATCATGCCCCTAGGGCTTACGAAAGATTAGACCCTTAAAAACGGGTCAAAATGGAAAACGCATAATTAAATAAAAATTACAAATAAAAATTTAAGATAACGTAAAACGATCACGACCGTCGATCTTCAGCTCCTCCTCAGATAGGCATGAACGGTTGGATGTCCGCATCACTCTTCTTCTTCGTACTGGGATAAAGGCTTGATGTTGTTGTCATTGTTGTTTGAAAAAACTTGTCTTTGAATTCTATCTTTGGCTTCCAAATTCGATTGACTGTTAGTGGGAATGATTGCAAATTGCAATTGACAGGTAAATGTTTTCAATTCCATTTTCAAATTTCTTTGGATGTCTTTTGTCCTTTATTTTTCTACTAATGTTTTTATGTATTTTGTCTAGTTTATTGATAATTAATTTGTTTAAACCTAGCTTCCTCTGCCCCTTTCTTGAGAATGATTATAAGAGATATATTGGTAGCCGTAAAATAATTGTGTATTGATGCATGGTTTTTTTTCTTAGTTTTTTCTGTATGCATGCAAATCAAATATGCAGCGTTTTAACACTTAATATTCATGTCTTGATTTCTTTTTCCTTGTAGTTTTGATCTGCTTTCTAAAATTTAATGGTGAAACTAAAGTGGATAATTTTGATAGCTTATGTTACAATCCCGGATTCTGTTATCACGCTTATGTTGATATCCTATTTTCCTTTTTTTTTGGCTTAGCAATGATTTCTTTTCTGACTGAAGAGCCTTGGCTTATTAGAAGACTTTTATGTAATTCTTTTCTTAATTTGTTTTGTTTGATTTTGGATAGTGAATCTTGGCTGTTTCTTGCATTACCTCACAGAAAATTTCATTGCTCATCCATTGTTAAGGATACCACTAATTTCTATTTTTGAAAAAATTACATTACAGTTAATTTATACCAATACTAATAAAATAATGTCAGTAACTAGCTTAGTATATTGTTTGCTTTTAGGCGTGTGAGATGGCAATTACCTTAACATCAGATGATGCAAAAGATTGGATTTACAAAGGCGAAGGGGGTGCAAACCTTGTCTTGGGTTATTGCGGTTCATCTCCATTTCTGGTACAATGATGTTTTTGTGATCTTTAGTTATGAAAATTTCCGAATTTGTTCTTTTTAATATTTATTGTTGAAGTAGAATCACATGAGGTAACTGCTACTTTCTTCATGGTACATTCTCTTATAGTTTTTAAGCTTCTATTTTCAGGTGAAAAAATTTTGGACAAATATTGAACTGAAGCATTATGTTAATGTTGGAACCCTCAGTTGTTGAAGAAATAAATCTTGTATGTATTTGAAGTGTGAATGTTATTGTATGTATACTACAATAGACATTTTTACCATCTTGTTGCAAACTAGTTTCCTTGTTTTCTCCCCAAAAATTGACCCATATATTGCCTTGTATCAGATACCGTGAACAACAACAACAACAATAATATCACGCCTTTATCCCACTATGTGGGGTCGGCTACACGAATCCTTTTTCTCCATTGTGTCCTGTTAAAAGTCAAATTCTCATTTAAATCTAATAAAGAAAAATAATTTCTAATATTTTCTAACCAAGTCTTTTTAGGTCTTCCTCTACCTTTCTTAACATAATTCAAATCTAATACCTCTACTTTCTAACCGGGTCATCGGAAGGTTGTCGTGTTATGTGACTAAACCATCTAAGACGACTCTCTCTAATCTTATCTTCCACTGGAGCTACTCCAACCTTCTCACGTATATGGTCATTTTGCATCTTATATCTAAGGGTAAAGTCATTCATTCACTTGAGCATCCTCATCTCTGCAAAATTTAACTTATTATTATGCTTCTCTTTTGATGGCCAACATTCGGCACCATAAAACATTGTAGGTCTCACCACCACCTTATAGAATTTTCCCTTTAGTTTGAGGGGTACTTTTCTATCACACAGCAAGCCCGATGCAATCTTCCACTTCAACCATTCAACTTGAATTGTGCTAATAATATACCCATCTATTTCACCATCACTCTGAACAATAGATCCAAGATATCTAAAACATGTACTCTTATTAATGACTTGATCGCCCAAAGTTACAATTCCCTCACTAGGTCTATTACTACTAAAATTATACTCCATATATTCCGTTTTAGATCTACTCAACCGAAAACCTTTAGACTCTAAGGTTGATCTCCATAATTCAAGTTTACCTTTAACTCCCTCTCTAGTCTGGTCAAAAAGAAGAATATCATCAGCAAAAAGCATACACCAAGGTACATCCTCTTGCAAATGTCTAGTGAGAACATACATGACTAAAGAAAAAAGATATGAGCTTAAGGCTGATCCTTGATGTAATCCAACCGAAATAGGGAAATACTTGGTCAAACCATAACTCCTGCATACATATCTTTAATAATTTTAATATAAGCGTTATTAACTCCTTTATTTTCAAGAACTCTCCATAGCACTTCTCTTGGAACTTTATCATATGCTTTAACACAATTTCTTAAAGGATTTATGTCATTATTATTCGACAAGTTTTACGTTGATTGTCGACTACCTAACACAACACTCCACTTTTCTCATCTAGGACTTGGGATTTGGCAATGGCTGTTAGATACTATTTTTTTTCTAATTTCTTATTGCATCTTGGCTTTCATCTCCGGAGACATTTGCAGCCTTCAGCACTATTGCCCTATATGTCTTGGTTTTTATCGTCTGATGCAAATCCTAGCAGTCCCTTTTTTTTCACCATGATCGACATCCAAACATCAATGATCTGTGCCCTCACTAATGATCCATTGTCATGAGAGCCTCACTGACCATCTTCAACGATGCCGACCTTTGCTCATTAGTTGCAGTGTTACATTGATTTTTTCTATGCCATTTTCTCGCGACCATACTGATGTTGATTTGCCATGATTGATTCCATGTTTCCCTTGTTAACTCTCTGGTCTCATCATTGACGGCTGCTTGATGATTTCTGTTTATTGTTAACCTTTGGTCATCAATTGTCTCTTATCATGATCTGCTATTGCTTTTGTTGTAATCAGAAAGTTTGAGAGAGAAATGCTTGAATTTTATTATGCAACATACTCCCTATTTATAGATCTATACAAGGTGCATTGGCAAAGAAATAAATAACTCTAAATAATTACAGAATAATGAGTAATACAATCCTTTCTAAATCAGATGCCTAGCCATGGAAGGAATTTAATGTGATCCAGGCGGTCTTCCTACGGATTGCTGTTTATAGCCATGGGATCATCTTTGGAACGGGAGGCTGGGATTTAACACTCCCTCTCAAGCTGGAGAATATAGATCTGTCATTCCCAGCTTTACAATCATTCTGATAAAGGTAAAGCTATCCAATCCTTTGAAAAGGATGTCTGCAAGTTGATTTTTCGACGATACATGATTGATACATGCTAGATCACCGTCTAGTTTTTCTTTAATAAAATGTCTGTCCACTTCTTTGTGCTTGTTCCTGTCATGCTGGACTGGATTGTAGGCTATGTTGATTGCTGATTTGCTGTCACAATGTAGCTTCATGGGATCATCCTACTTGATCCTAAAGTCTTCTAGAATTATTTTGATCCATTGTAATTCATATATTCCCAATGCCATAGCTCTATATTATGCTTCTGCACTAGATCTTGCCACTACATTCTATTTCTTGCTTCTCCATATAACTAGGTTACTTCCAAGAAATGTGCATTATCCAGAGATAGATCTTCTGTCAACTGGTGATCCTGCATAATCCGCATTAGTGTATGCTTCTGGGGTTATTCCGTGATTTCTTTTAAAGAGAATCCCTTTTCCCGAGTTTCCCCTAAGGTAGTGCAGTATCATGTCTATCGCTTGCATATGAGTATGTTTTGGGTTCTACATAAATTGATTGACCATGCTTACAACAAATGTTATATCTAGTCTGGTGTGGGAAAGGTAGATCAATTTCCATACAAGTCTCTGATAGACACCTTTATCTACATCTAGATCTTCTCTAACTTCCCCCAGCTTAAGATTAGGTTCTACTGATGCCGGTGATGGTTTACAAGCTAGTTTATTTGTTTGTTTTAGAGGATCTTTGATATATTTTTGTTGTGAAATGAAGATTTTTTTACTAGAGTGGGCTACCTCAATACCAAGTTCTTTGATGTTAAATTCCTTGGTAAGACTTTTTCTTAGACTATCTTTCTCCTCTTCATTATTTCTAGTTAGGATAATATCATAAACATATACTAATAGTATTATGACTCCCCCTGAGTCAGAGTATTTAAAGAATAGTGTATGGTCCCATTGACTCTGTAGATACCCATTAAGAAGCATGAATTTTGATAATCTTTTTCAAACCAGGCCCTTGATGATTATTTTAGCCCATATAGGGCTTTTCTCAACCAGCATAGCTTGTCACCTCTAGATTCTTCCTTAAATCCTGGTGATATTTTTATGAATATCTCTTCCTCCAAATCTCATGTAGTAATGCATTTTTTACATCTAGTTATTCTAGAAGCCAGTTGTATTTAGCTGCTAGTGAAAGTAGGATCATGACTCTGTTCATCTTGGCTACAGGTACAAAAGTTTCTTAGTAGTTGATGCCCTAAGTTTGAGTATATCTTTTTGCCACTAGTCTTGCTTTGTATCTTTCCAGTGTACCATTAGCTTTGTATTTTCCAAAGAATACCCATTTGCAGCCAACTTGTTTTATCCTTTTGGAAGCTTGATGATTTCCCATGTATTGTTCTTTTCTAGAGCCTGTATTTCATCTCTCATGGCATTTATTTAATTTTCATTGGATAAGACCTCAGAAATATTATTAGGAATATGAATTTCTTCTAATGTAACCAAGAAGTTTTTGTGAGAGGATGAAAATTATTGAAGGAAATAGAGTTAGTTGTGGGATACAAGGGTGGGGATGAGTTTGTGTTTACCTTAATTTCAGGAGATAGTTCAGATTCTTGGATTTGCTTCGTAGTATAGTCTGAGCTTGTATGCCTAGAATATACGTTCCCAAATCTATTGAAAGCTTTGTCTTCAGGTCCCTATTTTTGTTTTCAGGAAGATTCGTTTGTGGTGGTTAGGAAGGTCAAGAGGAGCAAGCTCACTTTTCGCATCTTCCTTTATTATAGTCTCCCCTTGAAGATGACGTGTGGTAAAATAGGAATTTTGTTCATTAAAGATAACATCAATAGAGACAAGGGTTTTTTTGGTGGGGGGATGATAACATTTGTATCATTTTTGGATGGCAGAATATCCAACAAAGATGCATTTGAGTGCTAATGTCATTTTATTGACCTTCATAATTCCCTTCCAAATCAACCATCTTTGCTTAAATAAACCTTCATAATTTCCTCCCAATCAAATCAGTTTTTTTTTTCCCTAAATAAACTTTCATAATTCCTTCCCAATCAAATCAACCCCTTTTCCCTAAATAAACATTCCTAATCACCTCCCAATTTTGGTCTTCTATGGTAAGCAATTAATCCCACTTTAACCCCCCTCTCTTCTTGCCCAGTGTCTATCCTAGTGGGGCCCACAGGTACTCCTCTCCCAAAGAGCCATCTTATCCTCAATGTGGAACGAAACAAATTACTGATGAAGCACTGGACTAATTGCAAGGTATTGAAAAAATGGACTGATTTTAGGTCGAATGATCCCTGCCTCCAACATCTCCCTGATCAATCTCTCGATCTCATCCTTCTGGATTTGGGGATAATGATACGGACGAATATTTTATTGGTGAGACTCCTTTCTTTAAGATGATAGCATGCTCGTGTTCCTGGAAAGGACGCAACCCATGAACTGACTAGAACACCTCTCGATATTGCTGGAAGAGTGGCTGAGCCATGTCTAGTGCTTCTATCTTATCCCCGTCTTCTCTTCTTCCAAACTCTGTAGCTCCACCAAAAATCTCACTCCTTCACCCTTTCCCCTCCTTGGAAGTGGCTCCAAAGGTGGCATCCCCTCTTCTTCCCTCAACATTTTCATCTCTCAATCCTCCCTCATCGTCCCTATATTAGGGTTTTCTCCACTTCCTTATCCGGTCAATGATGCCCTTGACTTTGGTAATGTCATCTTGGCTTAAAACTCTAACATTCATTTCATCATCACTTATAGATTCAAAATCCTTCCCTCAATTTTCTGAGATTCGCTCTCCGAATTTAGATATCATATTTATAACTTCCCCAACAAGCCTCTCCTCCAACGCATCAATCTTCTTAGCCACCATAGGTCCCAAAAAGGTGCTCTAATACCAATTTGATAGGAATCCATTTTCCTCACAGCAAAAACAACAATAACGAAGAGAAAGCCCATAAAAAAATAGCGAGAAAGATTTTTTTTTTTTTGTAAAACAAGCCAAGATACAAGTTGATCTACTGTTCAAGAGGTAGATCGGCTCTCCACAAATCCTAGACGCTGCTAGGAACAACTCCAAAGAAAACTACTGCAAAATACAATTCACATAACGAAAATAAAATAACATAATTAGCCCTAAATAAGCTCTCTGAATTTAGATATCATATTCCTAATTTCCTCCCAAATTTTGTCTTTTATTGTAAGTCATTAATTTCCCTTTGACCCCCCTTTCCTTGCCCTCACCGTCCACCCTAGTAGGGCCCACAAGCTTAGCCGTTCCATTATAATGCTATCGGAAAGGGTAAAAATTATGGAAATAATAACCTTCTATTTTTTACATTATTATTATGGGTATTTCAATGGAAATTTACCTCTTATGTGAGGTTAATTTTAGCATACCTTACATGTTAATATTAGTGGTTTGTCTAAATATGTGTATCCTTTGAAATTTGTTGTAACATATGGTGTAAATGTTTTAAATACATGTGGTTATTATTTCCTCGAGTTGCTTCTTTGAATTTTTTTTATTATACATAAAACGGAGGCCTTCCGAAAAATAGATGTATTAGATTTGACTTATGTTAAGAAAGATAGAGATAGACTTAAAAAGACTTGGTTAGAAAATATTAGAAATTACCATTCTTTATTAGTTTTAAATGAGAATTTAACTCTTAACAAGACACAATGGAGAAAAAGGATTCATGTAGCCGACCCATATAGTGCGATAAAAACTTGGTATTGTTGTTGTACGTTAAGTCGTTCTTTTTTCCAAGTCTTCGTGAATAGATAAATTTAGTGTTTGATTGTTGACAGCTGAATTTGTATTTGTATTCAACAGGTTGGCAAAGTTTTACGTGTTCACAAAGTTTTGCGGAGTGAAGTTCAGTCAGTAATTGAACGTAAAAGATTATTCTCTGAGTGTGAACAACTCGTATGGGGTGACATTCCACAACTTGTCAAATCTACTTCAAAAGAGATTGCTGAGCAGGTTTTTGCAGTACAAGTGATGAGTCCTCTCTTAGACTCCAAGCACATAGATGGAGGGGTATGTTCATTATGTTTTTTGGAATGCTTTTTTAGCAATGCTACCAATTGTCAATTGATGCCATAATCAGTAACTTTTTACTTGATGGTCTTTGATAAAAAGCATACAAACACCATTCTTTGCTTAAGTTTAGTTTGGTGGAGATAAGTATGACAAAATGAGTTTTATTTGGTCAGTGCAGCCGAGTGATTCTTCAGAATCTCTTGATATATTTATTTAAAAAAAGGATATATTTATTTTAAAAAAAGGAGAATGGTGTTTATCTTGCTTATAATAACTGCTGTTCACTTGTCATTGTGAAAAAATATAAAATGCTAACAATTGCGAAGTTCAGTGATGTTAGATCAATCAGATTCAAAGGGAGGCTATTTTCTTTAGTCCTTTGTCAGCTTCAGGATTAGATGCCCACATTGTAATTCTTAAAATAGACAAATGATTTCCTTTTGTATTCCTTAACTGAAACAAGTTGGGCTTCATTTGATTGGATGAAATTTAAAATGCTTGTCAGTTTGCTAAGTTTATATTTAAAATGTTGACCATGGAAATAAAAGCTCTTATGTTTCATCAAGGGTAGTTTTAGTGACATGTTCAAACCCATTGTTTAAATGCCTACATTGTAATTCTTAAAATAAACAAATGATTTCCTTTTGTATTCCTTAACTGAAACAAGTTTGGCTTCATTTGATTGGATGAAGTTTAAAATGCTTGTCAGTTTGCTAAGTTTATATTTAAAATGTTGACATGGAAATAAAAGCTCTTATGTTTCATTAATGGTAGTTTTTGTGACATGTTCAAACCCATTAATGTTTGGAACGATATAATTTAAGTTCTTATTTTATTTTTTTTGTTTCTTTGATTCTTCGTAATTGATGCTTGTCTAAGCCTGATCAAAACTCTTTAGACCATGTATCATGGCCCCCCCTCAACTCGTTACAGTTCATTGGAGATAGACTTGTTCACTGCTGGTGATTTGCTGGAGCTCATTGAACTTTGTTGGTCTTATTTTTCGTTTCACTCTGCATTTCTTTTTGGGGGTTTAAATGGCTTCTCAATTTACTTTTAACTAAACGAGCCCAAAAACGATATTCTTACTTTTCAATTGAGAGGTAGTATTTTTAATGTAAATTTTACATTTCATTTACTTGAAGCGTAATATAGCCTAATAGTTGTGATACTGCTAATGTTAATGATGATGATTATGTAACATCAATTGATTATTTTATTTGTATTGTAGTAATTGTGAAAAATAGCATGCTTACCGTATGCCAGGTACCCATATTTGTAACAAAGGAGTTCCTAGAGTCAGTTGAAAAGAACGTTCACACTCAGCGTCCTCCTTGGCGACTCCATGCAACTGAAGTTGATCTCCTCTCGCATTCTGCACTTCTTATGTCTGATCATTCAGTTTTTTCTAGTGGTAAAGGCTACTTCTATATGTTATATGATACATGTTAATATGCAAGTCTACACTTTCATGTTTCATCTGCACTAATATTCGTAGGAGCCCACAACTACATGTGATTTTTTTGAATGTGATTTCATCATCGCTGATGCTAGATTCAGAAAGTTGCATTTCTACCTCTTTTCATAGGTGGCCTAAGGATCAATTATAGTTATTAAGTATACTTATTTTTTTTTGGTTTGTGCATTTAAGAAAAAGTAATTCACTCAGTATTCAGCAAATTAAGGTTTTGACTTCTTCAAGATGAGCACACCTCAATCAAGGTTCAAAGAGGAGGCTTGGTTTGATTTATGAACTAACCCATTTTATGTTCTGATGGAAAGTTGGACGGTTCCTTCTAATTGGAAAATTTGAAGAGGAAATGAGTAATTATATATTGAAATATTTAATCTTTGATATATTTTCTTTGTGGTTCTTTTATTGAAAAGTGTATTTGACTTGCTTTACCACCCCTACCCTCATCCCTTTTAATTTTCTGTTGGAAAGCCATATCCAATAGTATTCTAAGAAAATTGTAGCCAAAAGTTAAAGAGGAAATGTTTCAAAACGATAGAGTACCTCATCTGGGGTTCTTCGTTTGGTTGTACATTTAAAGTGTTCCACTTATATCCCTATATACTTCAAGCCTTGGCACACATAGGACTCACTAGTATGCATAAATCAAGACAAAAATAAGCTCAGTGCTTATTAGCTTTGAATTTTACGTATATGTTATTCAGCTTCATCTCAGGTTCTCTTAAAGATGATGTATGCGTGGCAGTGGAAATAAAGGTAACTTCCAACACAAACAGGCTGTTCCTTTTTTGGGTTTACCTTCCTCGTCTTTGAACTGAGTTTCTTTTATTTGTTATTGCATGACTTTTGGTTACACGACTGAGAATCAGCCAAAGTGTGGATTTCTTCCGTCTTCAAAATTCATAGCCAAGCAAAATGCTGTAAAGAAGTCTGTAACACGATTTAGAATGCATCAACTCCTGAAATTTCATCAGGGAGAGGTACATATTTTGTCAGTCCTGTATTTCCTATGTTTCCCATATTCAATACAGAGTTTTTTTGGTGTTTGACTCAGGTAAAAATTATGGGGACATATTGATGAAAATACTGATGAAAGTGTTCATGCTCCTGAACATCCAAAATTGGCAAAATAGAGAAATAAAGATGTTAAGAGTCATGACTTGGATCTATGGATTCATTGATCTGGCAATTACTCTTAATCTAATGCCATATAAGAGAACAAGATATATGTGGGAGTATTTAAGAAAAGTAGAAATATATGAAAATTAATTTGAATTTTGTATCATTTTTTACAAAGTGTGGAAGTATATATATATTTCTAAAAATCTTATAATGGAAATAAATCAAAGCTAATTAAAAAAAAAAAAAAAAAATCCCAAAGAGTAATTGCCAATGGTTACAACCATTAATTTGTTTGCTTAAAAATCCTCATGAAGATTGGTTGACTTGTGGGTTCTTATGTCTTTTAACATTTTTTAGTTTGACTTTAATGAAATACTTATCGCCCTCCATTTGCTTGGTACGATCGTATTGTACTAGATTATGAGCAATGCTGATAGAAGATTTATTGTTATAGTATATCTTCATTAGTCATTCTCATTTGATTTTAAAATTTCCGAGATAATTTTGATCTTTAGGAGCTTGTAGATTACTTAGGCAAGCTCCAAGTTAAGATTCAATACTAGATCATTGAAATAATATGTTGTTCTTTGCTCCTCCATGTCATTAGATTTCTTCCCAAAAATATATAATATCCATTGATGTATTTTTTATCCACTGGTGATGCTGCATAGCCTGTATCAGTGTGCCTTCGATTTATAAAGTATCCTACATTTTATATAAAATTCCTTTGCATGAACTTGATTTAAGATATCTAAGAATTCTATGAGTAGCTTGAAGGTAAAATTTTTTAGATCTGTGTATGAATTGATTGATGAGACTTACTAGAAATGTGATGTTTAGATGAGTGTGGGATAGATAGATTAGTATTGTAACGAATCATTGATGTTGTCCTAGGTCTACTTCTTTTCCGTCTTCATTTAGATCTAATTTTGACCTGGTTCACTTGGGGTTTCACAAAGTTTGCAATCAATCATTTTTGTTTCGTTTAGTATATATATGACATATTTTGTTGATAGATGAATATTCTTTATTCTAATTGAGAAACTTATATGCCCAAGAAGTATTTGAGCTTGCTCAACTCCTTAATGTCAAATTCTTAACTAGACATTTTCCTGAGAGACTCGTTTTATAGAGAGAAAAAAAATTATATCAACATATATATTAAGAATTGAGATTTTACTATTAATGGAGGAGTGTTTTTTGAAGAGGATATGATCCCCTTGACTTTATCTAACTTCATTCATTACTTTTGTGAATCTTTCAAACCTTGTTCTCAGAGTTTGTTTAAGGCTATATAGAGCCTTTTTTAATGTGTATATTTGTTTTTTGTTGAAGAGTTATCAAATCAAAGTCGTGGGTCTATTATTATAGACTTTTTCAACCTATCTACAAAAATATATTTTTACATTATGCTGTTGTATGGATCGTTTACGATTGGCTACATGAGAAATTAGGTTGCATTTTTTTTTTTTTTCATTTTCTCAATGGTAGCACAAGTTTCTTGATATTCAATTTCATTGGACTAAGTATATCTTTTGGCTACCAATCTTATTTTTGTATCATTTCAGGTTTCTATCTATTCTATATTTAACAAAAAAAATCCATTTATACATCCTATAGTTTTTTTTCCTTTTGATAGTTCAACAATCTCTCTAGTGTGATTTTTTTCCAGAGTATTCATTTCTTCCCTCATGACATTCTTCTAATTTTTATTTTCAAGTGCCTCAAATAGAGTTTATGGTATTGTTATGGAATTGAAGCTTATGCTTATTAAAAAAGCTCTATGGTTAGGTGAAAAAAAAATGTAGAAATTTATGTTAGGTTGTGAGATATAGAGGATAATGCATAGTGATGGTTTCATCATTATTACCTATTAACGTTTCCAAATCTTATGCTTGTTGGAGTTTTTGGTTGAGCTTATTCCTTTTTGTAGAGACATGAAGGGGTATACTGTATGTATTTGTTAGAGTTTATTATTGAAATTTCAAGGTGAAAGGGGTTTTATCAAACTTCTCTTCCAGTTAAAAGTTTTCCCCTGAATATGAGTTTGATTGAAAAAAAAACTTCGTTTTTTATCCAAGGTGGCATCTTTTGAATTAAGGAGTTTTTCGGTGGTAGGATGATAACAGTTATAATCTTTTTGAGTGAAGGGATACCCAATAAAGATACATTTAAGGTCTCTAGGATCAAATTTACCCTTTTGCGTTGTTTGTGGACGTGGACTTATGCCATCCAAAGATTTTTTGTGGAATTTTTGAGAGGAAGTTATCTGTGAGGAAGAATTTAGTTGGATAGTTCAGAGGACTTTTGAAGTTAATCACTCTTGAGGCTACTTAATTTGTGGGGAGGTATCAACATATATCAATGAGATATGCATTAATTACTATATCAATTATTCCCTATATTATGTATGATTAGTTATTATAACTATAAATATTCATATTTTAGAAATATTCTTATTTTCGACTTTATGATGACAAATCTGATTGAGCAAATCATTCCATCACTTCTTTGTATATTATATGTTATTTTCTATATAAAGATTAAAACCGAAGAGGGCAAGCAATTTAGGCATCAAATTTGTTATACGAGTTAATAATTACGGATCATTTTCTTCAACTTAAATTATTTTTTATTCGGGTCCCAAATTTTATGAAGAACCATGAAATCCCATTTAATTTCTCTGAATTAATCTAGTTCTCTAGATAAGATAGGATTCTGTTTGCATTGTGACTAATGATAATAAATTTAAACAAATCTTTATGTGAGCTGCTTGTTTTAACTTATTTCAGATATCCCAGCCGAGTGAATACAACCCACTGGATCTGTTATCTGGATCTAGAGAGCAGATAAACCAAGCCATTGCTGCACTATTTTCAACTCCTTATAATAACTTCCGAATTTTTTTGAATGGCTCCCTCATATTTGGAAACTTGGATGGATCAGACAGCAGTAAAAATACAGTATATTCTGCTAATCAATCTGGTGAGATAGGCGCTAGCATTGAAGATCAAATTAAGGTACTCATACAAGGAGAATTTGGCTTTAGATTAGCTACCTTTATTGAACTTGTCTCTGAGGCAATTTTCAGGTCAGGAGTACTTGACCGACTTCTGGCTGTTCAAAAGCTTGATGTATTTGACATAGAAGGAACCATTCATGTCTATTACAATCTTATTTCGGAGCCTTGTATGGTATGCAAAAATCTAGGCGACTCTGAATCAGTACAGAAGTATTATTGGCTCCATACTCTTTCTTTTGAGGAAAGTTTGAAAATTGTACGGGATTTTCTAATAGCTGCCACTGCAAAGGATTGCAGTTTAATGATCAGCTTTAGACCTCAGCAAAAAAGTGACTCCTCGCAAGACTTCATTCATCTTGAGTCATCTAAGCAGACCTTTGATTACAAGGTATATCTCACTCATTTTCTGATAAAGCATCCTGCAAGTAAGAAGAAAAAGCTTATGAGCACTTTCTCAGCAATTTTAATTTGTCGTCCATTGGGATTTGTATACGTCCACTTCTGACTTTTGATGATTTTACAATCAGCGCAAGTAGACCAGTAAATTTAGGCTTCATTTGGGATGGCTTTCTTAATGCTTCTTAAAATAGCTTTTCAGTACAAAAATTTAAATATTTATACTAAAAAACTGTTTAGGAAGCAATAAAAAAGCCATCCCAAACAAAGCCTTAGCTTTCCATGCCTGAGTTTGCAATGTTCTTTTTGCTGATTTCAACCATCCAATACAAACCTGATCTCATTTATTTAAGCTTTCATCCTTTCTTCAAGCTGTTCCAAACGAACCTTTATGATTTTTTCTACATTGTTTCAAGCTTCTATTCCCAGATGTTCTATACTCACATGCTAATTACTCCTAATTGGCTCATTTTCTATATATGGCTTGTTTTTGAAACTTGAGTAATTTGCACATAAATCTAACATAGAGTATTCTTTGCAGGCTTATTTCATTGACCTGGACATGAAACCTCTTGATAAAATGGTCCACTACTATAAATTGGATCAGAGCATAGTTAGCTTTTACACACAATGTGGGATACAGGTGAATAACGATGCAGTAGCTGAATCTCTATGATACCTGTCTGAGTTTTATTCCAGATTGAAGAAACTAATGCAGCCATCATGACTCCTTGACTGGTATGGCACTTGCAGTTTACTTTGTTTCTTTTGATCTGTTACTATATTCTGAAGTTTGCATGCTAGCTTTTAATTAGGACAGTTTATTTATAGGTCATTGTTGCTTTTTATCAATGATGATTTCCTATTTTCTAAAAAGTTACAAGTTGCCCAACCTATCAATAAAATGTATCAATTCTATTTTATCTATGCTTTTAGAAGCTTGATAAATACAATTTTATTGGGGCGCGGATCTGCAACAATTATTATGTTGTCTCATTGTGATTTCAAGATCATAAATTCTAATAAAAAATAATAAAAAAAAGATCATAAATTCTAATCTTTGAAATGTATCCATAAGGACATCAAATCCTTCTCAAGAGAAATTATTTTGTACGGAGATCGGACGATGAAAACCATTCGAATTTGCTGCGTTTTTGCTGCGCTTTTATAATTACTTAGCAAAAAGGTAACAAATATTCATTGATAATTGCCCTTTTGCTGCCCTTTTGCTGAGTATTTACAAAAGGACAGCAAAATGACAACAAAAATGTAATTATAAATGAATATTTGCTGTCATTTTGTTGAATATTTAGAAAAGCGCAGCAAAAGTGCAGATAAAGGGCAGCAAATCCGAACGGTTCTCGCCGTCTAGTCTACACATAGAATAATTTCTCCCTCCTCAGACCCTACATTGATCTGAAGCCTTATGCATTGGGTATGTTAATATTACTCTTTTTTTTCTTTTCCCATTGTAGTCTTAGTTGTTTTTGTCTGTTTTTGGATGCTATATCTTCCTTTGGGGAGGGACTAAATTTTTAGATTGAAGAAGAGAAGCAAATTCTTTCTCTTCTAATAAAGTTGTAGTCAGCGCCCCCACTTTTCAAGGAGTCATTACTTGACTCTCATAGGGGATTTACATAAATATCATATTATTTCATGTTATTTACATGTCTAACACCTAAAATTTAATATTACATTCAAACCACTCATATAAAATTTTAATATCAAATATATCATTCATATATTTCATTCTTATCACCCATATCACTCTATAAATTTTAAAATTTCATTCAATGCACCCATATTTATTCTATAAGTGATAGATTTGTAATATTAAAGTTTAACATGTTAGATATGTAAATAATATGAAATAAAGTGATGTGTATGTAAATCCCCCTCTTCACTTTTTAAGGAGTCATTACTTGGTCACCTTTTATTAGTTCTACATAGATTTTACTGTGTAGTAAAATGGCATTAATGAGCTTTTTAAAAAATGATTATTTCAATGTTAATGAGTTTAATTATCTCATTATTGATGGTTAGTATAGCCTTAATTTTCTACTCACCTACTAACAAGTGCCTAAAGTACCCCCTCCTCACATACTATTATGAGAAGTTCATAGGAACATAAATATTATCTCAATTATTATTTAAATGATTTAATTAAATATTATATGAATTTAAATTCAAGTAAAGATGATATAAACCTAGAAAATCACTTATGCAATAATTAATCAAGGGTTTATAACTAACTAATTTATATAGATTTATACACATTATTAGTCAACAAAATTAATTACTTTGATGTTGCTTTGTTGTATAGGCTATTTGTTACACCTCAGAATTTAATTTTTAATAATTCTTTTTTTATTATTTTTTAAAACAACTAGAGCTATCTAATCTCATTGATCAATAATAAAATCATATATCAGCAAAAATGAATTTTATTGATAAAAAAATTCATATGTATCTATATTCATTGACTTAAAAATCATATATAATACTCAGAAATTATACAATTATAATCTATCATCACCAATCCCGAATACAAAAAAAAAGAAGCTAAAACCAGAAAAAAATAAAATAACTGTAAATTTGGAGAACTCTTATTTGATCAATCTCAAACTTGATATTTTGTCTTGACTTGAAATCATTTAAACTATATATAATAAGCTAAAAAGCCCAATATGTCATTAAAATCCTATCACTAAATTCAAATCATGGTAGAGAAGCAATATGCATCTCATTAATCAATTCATAACAATTGTTATATGATCAAGAATCAGTGCAGAAATAATAAAACTCACATGCATAGTAGTATAGTGGAGAAATCAGTAAATAAGTGAAGCAGTCATTGTATCAATACTATCAATCAATAAAACAATCATATAAAGTGATAAAATTAAAGCATCGGTAAAGAACTGTCGAATTTAGATTAATGCAGTGAAATCTCATAATGATGTACATGTACTATCTAATTAATCTATATCAGTATCAATATCATATAAATATCTTAATCACATGCTCAATATATCATATGAATAGTATCAATAATCAGTAGCGTGAATTAATAACACTAACAATAGCAGGGAATCATTAATAGTATTAGTAATAATTCAATAACAATATCAATGCTCGTATTTGTACCAATAAATTCAGTGGACACTATAATAAATCAATGATATAATAGTAATCCATACAGTAATAGTAAATTAATATAGTATCAATAAAGCTGTACAGTAGCAATGAATCAGTAACATGTATTTCAGTAGTCACACTAAATAAGTAAGAAGTCTTGGCTATCACGGTATGTTTTAGTGTTTGACAATCAATAACCGTTGCCTTAGGAAACATAATCGTCACTCATCTTTTATTAGGTCCGGTGTAAGGACGTAGAGGAATGTCCGGTCGGAGGCAGACAAAAAAACTCGGTATTTGCTCGGTATTGCTAGGTATTATTTGATAATAACAAGGAATGCCGCTTTGTGAAGACCAATACCAAGTTATACCGAGCTATACCGAGTTATACAAAAGTTGTACGGAGTTTTTCCTAGGAAAAACTCGGTACAACTTTTGTATAACTCGGTATGGCTCAGTATAACTCGGTATTGGGTCTTCACGTGATGGTATTCCTCGTTATTGTTTTGTATTTCTCATTTTTTGGCGAGATTTGGCCTCTGACCGGACGTAGAGGTACATCTGGTCGGAGGATGTAATAATTGTTCCACTCATTGCTCGTTGACACAGTAATAATTCTTTATAAAACCCAACCGTTGTATCGTTGTATCACTGTTAACCATTACAGAGGAATGAAAAAAAAAAAAAAAAAAATTTAAATCAACGTCGTCCAGTGCCATTCACACATACTTGCAGCCCCGCAGGCCATCTCTTCACATCTCTTCACGTCGCGACGCACGATCTCTACCCTGTCTCGTCGTTAAGAAGAACGAAACAAAGGTTTCGTTTTCTGATATTCTATCCCGCTCACAAGCTACCACAGACGAGAGCCTCTAACCTCAGTTCGATCCATCCGCTCCAGCCTACCTCGCCTCTTCTTCCTCCAGGGCCGAAGAATGCTGCCTATCTACTGTCAAATCCTGATCAATCGATCCTGCAACATCGTCCGACTCTTCTAAGCAATGTTTAATTGATGATGTGCTAAATCTAATTCTTCAGTTAATAAAAATAAAGCCTGCTCCAAGCTTTCAACCTCAATGGCTATCCAAGAGAACTTCTCCTCAGTATGAGTAGTTGTAGCTTGGATCGCTAAGCGTCTCTCCATAAAAGCCTTTTCCCTTTCGCTTCGAAGAGTTGAGCTCGGCTAAAATCTGTTTGCTCGAGACAAATGGCGTTAGGCACAAACCTTGCTTTCCAGGCTTAGGTTCCATTTTCCTTTGGTTTTTAATTAATCAGATTTTTCCTGATGTTCATATCGAGGTTTATTTAGATTTGGATACTTACTCGTATGAGTGTAAGCCCTCCTAGTTAATTATCCATCATTCTTCGTAGGAGAGAACTCTCGATTATAGATGAATCATTTTAGTGTAGGTTTAGAATTTTAAGTTTTATTATTGTTTATGAGGGAATAGGGGTAGACTCAATTAAGATCCTATAGTTCCGTTATCTTATAAATATTGTAGATCTCAATCTACCAATGCTAACAAACCATTGATTGCAACGTCCAAAGAATTTGATTTGCAAATATAAGCTTTTTTTTTTATAAAAAAATTTTATTTGCAAATATAAGTTGTCTCCTCTCAAGGATTCCAAGTAGACTGAGGTGGCTAGATGTTGGTTTTAGTTTTGGTGTAGTTTAAGTTTAGGGGCTTATATATGTTAGAATGGCTGTTAATTTGTTTAGTTTGAGATTTATTTCTCCTATCAAGAGTTGCATGGTAATTTTGTTTAGGATGGAACTTATGGCTCCGCTTAGGAGTTGTTTGATAATTTAGTTTATGATGAGACTTATGGCTCCGCTTAAGAGTTGCCCGATTATTTGATTTGGGATGGAGCTTATTGCTCCTCTTAGGAGTTGCCTTGGTGATTTAGATTTAGGATGGGGCTTATAGCTCCACTTAGGAGTTGTTCGTTGTTTAAGCTTATGAAAGATCTTACTGCTTCTAGTAGAGGTTGGTTGTAGTTTAAGTTTGTGATAAGTTTTACTTCTTCTATTAAAGTTTCCTGTTTTGATTTCGAGTTTGTCACTTCACTTAGAAGCTTTCCTAACACACGGGTTAAAGTAGGTCTTATCATTTCCATTAGAAGTTGCCTAATAATTTTGGTTTTGGATGTCTTATCTTACTGCTTCTATTAAAAGTTGCATGTTAATTTAGATTTAGTTTGAATTTGATTTATGATGTGCTACATCCTTTAGAAGTTTCCCTAACAAATTGATTAAATAGATCATATTATTTCCATTGAAAGTTGCCTGAGAGTTTAGGTTTGAGTTTAGGGTCAATTATTTCACTTAAAAGTTTCTCCAATAAATTGATTAAGAACATATCTTACCATTTAGTTTAGAAGTAGCCTAGAGTTTTGATTTGGGGTTTATCTATGTTTTATTACTTTGCTAAGATGGTTCCCTAACAAATTGGTTAGGAATAGCTCTTATTGTTTCTCTTGGAAGTTGCTTGTTGATTTTTATTTAGTTTGAACTTAGAAATAGTTACTTTGGTCTCACTTTCTCTTGCTTCAGTAGCTTTCCTTTTGCCTTAGCACATTTGTTTTAGTTTCAGTTCGCTGACTTTTTTCTTTAGCAATGTTTTTTTTACTTATAGCACTGAATTTGGTTTTGTTTATCTGTTTTGTAGGTGTTTGGAGCTCTCACTATTGGGGCGAATTATTGCGTCCGGTCACCGGATGTCCGGACATCCAATCTGGTGACGCCACGTTACCAAAATACACTTGGTCCTGATATATTTTGGTGATGTGGTGACACTGGATTGGTGTCCGGACGAATCCGGACACCGGACACAATAATTTGCCCACTATTGGAGCTTGTTTGAGTTTGAATTTAGTTGAGTGTGAGTTAGTTTAGAGTTTTGTTTAAGTTTTTATTTGAGTTTTGAGTTTAATTTGTGTTTGAGTTATTAGGACTGTTATATTAGAGATGATTTTAGTGTAAACTTTTCACTCTTGTTGTTTTTTTATGTTTATTGCATTTTTGATTGATTGATTAATTAATTATCTAAAAGAGATTTTTTTATTTAAATTCATTATGTTTTAAATAATCAAATAAATAAATAAATAATTTTTTTTTTTTAAAGTTTACTATGTTTTATTTCAATGTAATTTACTAATTAAGTAATTAACATATTTTCATGATTGTTTAATTAAATTAATCAATTATTATTTAAATTTACATGAAATTAAAATTTTAATTATGGATAACACATTTAAATTTAACAGTGCTCTCGAATTAGTTTCAAAATAAACATCAAAAAAATTTTTTTTTTCAGAGCAAAATTAATAAAAATCATTCCCTCTTTTATTTAATTAAATATATCTTAAAATTGCTCTAAAATATATATTTTCGTTCTTTTTTTATTTTTTATTTTATAAAATTTTGTAGCCTCTAGGCATTCATTATTGATTATTTTTTTTTTTCATGACTGATGGCCATTTAAGTGAACGGACTTAATTTTCATTTTGGTCCTACAATCAAAATTTTTGGTAGGGCAATATAATTTTTTTATTGATAGGATTAGAGCCACTGAATATTGGAGAAAATTATTAAGTTCGGAGTTCAGATGCATCTTGAGGTTAATTTAAATGTGTTATATCTTTCAATACATAGTATTTTGGGTGATGTGACGCATCAGAATTGACTTTTAGATGCGTTCGGATTTCGCACGTAATAATCTCTCGTATATAGGGTAATTTGTATATGTCATTTGATTTGTTTTTTTCTCTCATGAAGAGAATATTTTTGCCAAACATGTTTTGTGATCCTATACAATGATTTTCAAATATTCTTGCTAAACAAGTTTTATGGTCCCTATATTTAAAATTTTGAAATAGAATACCAAATACCTTTTCTTGATAAACATCCAATGCGTTTTTATGAATGATAAAATCATTAAATGAAGGTTGATTGCTTTTAGTCCATATTTTTGTCCCACTCATTGCTTTAGTTTTATTACCATATCTAAACTATCATATGTGATAACTAATTTACAATAGGAATTTGCATTTTGTACTATTGTAATATTGTCATTATTGAGAATATATTCCATTTTATTGTTTTCCTCTCTTGTCTATATGTAGGTATGTATATGCTTATGTTAAATGAAAATTCATTTAAAATATATCCCTTTTAATTCTATCTCCCTCTTAATATGATGTAAGAGCCTATCAATTATTTAAGCATTCATCATTTAGTCTGCAATTGTGTTGAAACTCAATCTTTACCCATACCCTCCATTTTGGACCACTAGATTTGCTTCATGACTATATAGGTTGTTGTGAACTCTTTCACCATCAAGGGTCATAGGTACAACATATCCTTTGTAAAGGTCTCAAACACTCTCTTCTAAACCCCCATCTACTTCCTTGAGCTCTTTGGTTGCATCCTTTGAGAGCTCCTCCTTTAATTTGGTAGCTAGTTATTATTCTCAAAGAATCTTTTTCTTGAGCCTGATATTAATGATGATACGATCATTATTGTCTTTCTCACCACCTAGATGCTTGTACTTTCTCAATTTCTGCATGTTCCGTGCTCTCAGGCTCTAGATGCCAAGACCAACCCTTTGCACCCATCTTAGAGTATTCTTGTGATCCTGGGCCGTAATCGTTGCTACTCACGCCCAACAACATAGCTTAAATCTCCCACCATCGGCCAACCTGCCGACATCATTGTTAGCCATTGAGGCATCTGACCTCCTTATCTTTCTCTTGTAGATCGTAGAGTTCTACGATCTCTTATGTTCTCCAGTGGCTATTGCATCCGTGACTTTTATTCTTATTATATGGACCTCCAAGTTGATGTTTTGTATCTATACCCTTTGTTGATACTCTTGATCAATGCCTTTGTTGATAACTCTATTTAAGGATTTTATCCATCCCTTCTTTGACACAAATCTCCTTGCAGAGTCTTTGCATCAAATTCACAATACTTTTTGTTTAATGTTCTTGCTACAGTTCTACAGAACTTTATTTTTACTTGACAGTTCTACAGAACTTTATTACTATTTTTCGCGACCAATTTTGATTTTTATGTTGTTAATATATATTCTCAGATATTAATATTCATCTAGAGAGCTAATTGCTGAAGCTATTATTTGAATAAATTTTTATTTTTATATTTATCCATTAAAAATTGATGGAACCAAATGATGATTAGAGAGTTCATAATCATAGTTAGAATAAGGTTAATAATATTGATTGCTATAATGGACAAAGTTGAAAAGGGTTATAATATCTACTTTGTTATAATATCTTTATATTATATGAAAAGGGTTATAATGGACGAGTTGAAAATTAGAAAAGGGTTATAATAATTCAACTCGATGACCCGTTTTGACACCCCTAAGCTGTCTCAAATGAAGCCCTAATTATGTGCTTTCTAAAAAAATTAATGATTTTTATCTCATCAACATGAGTATTGATATTTCATATAAATATTCTCAAACCTCATAATTTTGTCTTCAACATTAGTAAGAATATTTAAAATTTCTTTTGTTTAGTAGATTAATTTTTTTTCCCAATATAAAAATATAGGATATTTATAAAAATATGAATTGGATTTTTTTTTAAGAATTTAATATTTTGGCAAAATTTTGACTAATTAATGATCAAAATGAAAAATATGATTTGGATATGCATCTAGAAATATTTTTGAATATTGGCTCTATTCACCAAAATTTTATCATTTCTAAATACATTAATAATAAATATAATTTAATTCTAATAACTAATTTGAAATAATTTGGATAATGATCAATAACTAAATTTGGATGGAGAAAAAAATAACATAGGGTGAAATGATTTGTAGCAAAATGGTTTGAAGAAAATATTATTTTTTTCAAGATCATGTATTTGAGCTATATACTTTTTTTTTTATTAAAACTCACGGCGGGGCCTACGCGTTAATATAAAAACGGGGTTACAGAGTACTTAAGGGAAACCGTCAGTTCACTATTGCTCATACGAGCTATATACTTTTCTATTTATGGCTCACTAGTTCAAAAGAAATTAAGTGAAAGATAAACAAAGCAATGATTTGAAGAAGATGAGAAGAAGAAAAGATGAACAAAAAGGAAAATGTCCAAAGAACAGAAGAATCATTGAGTCACATAGCTCTTTAATTGTTTGAGACAATTTTTTTATTGCTTTATAAATTAATTTTTTAGTACAATTTTTTTTAATTTAAAAATTTTATATATAATAAGAAGCTGCTTTAAAAAATAGTAAGAAAGTTGGTCCAAACGAAACCTTTTGACAAAAGTTTAAGAGGAAAAGTTTCTTTTTTTCTTTTGAAAAATTATTAAGATATAGTAAAAATAATTTTCATTGAATTTTTCAAAAAATCATGAAATCATAGCATCCATATTAAATACAATATACATAGGCACTTGATGAAGCATATCAATGTCCTCAATGAAGAGTTTTACCATGCATGATGCATCTAACTATTTTGAAAAATCTATTAACAAGCACTAACATCATCTGAAAATAGACTTTGTAGGATATTTTTTCAAATAAAAATATGGGGAATATTTGATCAAATATCCTTATTATGGATGATATAAAGTCAAATTTTCATGATTATACACAATTAAATCATTAAATTATTCTACTTATAAAATTATCACGAATGGCCTTATTACATGATTCATCTAGATGATGGGGGCATAATACACTTTTTTTCAATTTTCAAACGAAGCCTAAAATTGAGAATTTATAGAGGTTCAGTTGAAACCAATCTATGGAATTAAGTTAATGTGACATACTTTAAAACTATGAGAGCAAGTTATGAAGCATAGGTTACGACATGATACTAATGTTTCTCAATATCAATTTGGATTCATGCCGGGTAGGTCGACTATGGAAGCCATACATTTATTAAGAGGTTTGATGGAGAAATATAGAGAAAATAAGGAGGATCTACATATGATATTTTATTATTTAGAAAAAGCATATGATGAAGTTTCAAGAGAAGTGTCATGGAGAGTTCTTGAAAAGAAAGGAGTAGCAAATCATTAAAGATATGTATGCAGGAGCTATTACTTATGTTCAAATACAAGGTGGTTTGACCAAGTATTTCCCTATTTTGGTTGGGTTAAAACAAGGATCAGCCTTAAGCCCATATCTTTTTGCTTTAGTCATAGATGTTCTCACTAGACATTTGCAAGAGGATGTACCTTGGTGTAAGCTTTTTGCTGATGATATTCTTCTTGTTGATAAGACTAGAGAGGGAGTTGAAGTTAAACTTGAATTATGGAGGTCAATCTTAGAGTTTAAAGATTTTCGCTTGAGTAGATCTAAAACAGAAGATATGTAGTATAATTTTAATAATAATAGATCTAGTGAGGGGATTGTGACTTTGGACGATCAAGTCATTAATAAGAGCACATTTTAGATATTTTGGATATATTGTTCAGAGTGATGGTGAAATAGATGAGGATATTATCAGCAGAATTCAAGTAGGATGGTTGAAGTGGAGGAATGCATCAAGTTTGTTGTGTGATAGAAAAGTACCCCTCAAACTAAAGGGAAAATTCTATAAGGTGTTGGTGAGACTTACAATGTTTTATGGTGCCGAATGTTAGCCATCAAAAGAGAAGCATAATAATAAGTTAAATTTTGCGGAGATGAGGATGCTCAGGTGGATTAGCGGCTTTACCTTGAGAGATAGGATATGAAATGCGCATATACATGAAAAAGTTGGAGTAGCTCCAATAGAATATAAGATTAGAGAGAGTCGCCTTAGATGGTTTGGTCACATAAAACGGCGCCCTTTCGATAACCTGGTTAGGAGAGTAGAGATATTAGATTTGACTTACGTTAAGAAAGATAGAGGCAAACCTAAAAAGACTTGGTTAAAAAATATTAGGAATGACCTTTCTTTATTAGATTTAAATGAGAATTTAACTTTTAATAGGACACAATGGAGAAAAAAGATTCATGTAGTCGACCCCACGTAGTGGGATAAAGGCTTGATGTTGTTGTTGAAACCAATCTATGTCCACTGTAACATTTAAAAAAATTTTCCTCCATTATATAATTATATGAGCTCATCATCAAAGAATAATATTCAGAACCAAGAGGAAGAATTGAATAGAATCCAATCAAAATTTGAGCAAAAAGAGGACATTTTCTTACTGCTTTTTAAGGAAAATTTTTAGTGCAAAAATTTCTTGAACTCAAAATTTTGTACTAAAAAGCATCTTTAGAAAGTAGTAAGAAAGCTGTCCTAAACAAAGCCTAAGTCACATGATGAAAATCCTTTTGTGCCTTTGAATCTCGCTTTGTTGCTCTTTATCAAATGCAAGTAAAAAAAAGTACAAGAAAAACAAGAAAGCAGAAGTTCTGGAGGATTACAATAATGGTGGGTAAGTGCATCAGCAACAAGAGAGAACGAAATCAACAGCTAAAAACATAAAAGCTGTAGTATGGCAATGCAAAAGCAATTCAACTGTTGGTAAAATTATGCTCAGTTACCAAATCACAAAGGTTTATAATGAAATTAGCAAGGGAAAATAAATACAGAAATGTGGCAGTTTATTGAAGATGAGAAAAAAAAAAAAAGGCAAAACGTTGAGAATACCTGAAGAGCAGAACTGGCTCACATAGTGTTCTGATAGTGTCAGAATTGAGAGAAGAAGCATCACATAACCCAAAAACTAAAACTAGTCGAGGAGGTGCGAATAAAAAATCACAAAAAAGGAGATAAAAGTCATCAATCTCGTCGCATTTCTCATCGCTAAGTCCAATTTATGATTGATACTCTTGTCACATTACCGTTTGCTATTAATTTAGTCACAAATAAAATACAATTGCAGAAATTATAACTAATATGCACCATGAAAGCTCCATTGTTGCAGTGTTAATGTTTCAAAGATCACCTAGAAAAATGAAAATTTCCTAATTTTGCATTGATCTTGCTACTCATTGTGTTGCAAATATGGGATTTAGCTAGTTGTTTGCAGCTGGTATGGATCGTAGAGCGATCGCAAAGAGTTGCATGATATCATATGACTGCATTTTGAATTCATACAACCCACAAATACACAATAAATGCAGCCAACTCTTACAAATACACAATACCATCATTTGGCTCATCATATAGGAAAATCATGACCTTATTAGTTATTAACACTTCTTGCTAAAAAAAAAAAAGAAAGATTTATAGTATGTATGTATATATCTAGCTCTAAATTCTTATATTTGGTTCTATAACACTATAATGTCTAAGGCTTCGTTTGGAATGGTTTTCTTACTGCTTCTTAAAGTAGCTTTTTTGTTCAAAAATTTTAAGCAGCAGTAAGAAAGCTGTCCCAAACGAAGTCTAAGACTTCGTTTTAGATAGCTTTTTAGTACAAAAATTAAAAATTTTGTGCTATAAAGCTGCTTTAAGAAGCAGTAAAAATGCTGTCCCAAATGAAGCCTAAATCTCATCAAAACATCTACATTAAAAGCAAAATGTTAATTTAGATAAATTAATATTAGTGATATTTTTGAGGGATTTAAGGATCACAATGTTATATAAGTAAATATAGCAATTTAAGCTGTACATATATAAACAAATAAATAATAGTGATATCTATGTAAATCCCCCATAAACAAAATGGATAAATAGTGATATCACCGAAGAAGATATTTTTCAAAAATAATTAAGGCAGCAAAAACTGATAATGTAGATCGTATTTTCGGAGCCATTAAGCATAATAAAGAAAGCATATAGAGAAGCAAAAATTCAACCATAAAATACTCACAAAAATATCATATTTACAGAAGTAATGATACTTGCACCTTATGATACATAATGGTGAGTGTCCTTATCTTCGTAAAAGCAAGAATGTACGTGGCGGCTTTCTTTGCTCCTTTATAAGATCTTCAGAAACAAAACTTCTGTAGCTACGAACATAAAATGCTTTAGAATGTTATAATTCAACGACCTTCCATTAAAGGGAAATGAATAGGGTGGAGTCTTACCCTAAACTTGGCCTCTTGTTGTCCATCAATGTACGCAAGTAGTTCTTCCTGCCTAATAAGAGCTTCATGCAAAATCTGTTTGACAAATAAATGCTATGATAAGCTTAAAATGTGTATGTACCTATGAAAAAGTAGTAGTCTAAGGTTTCGTTTGGTTTCTTTATCTTTTCTATTTCAAAAATGTCAATCGAAGAAATGGAGGTTTTAAACAGATAAGCTACTACCATAACGCTTCTCAAAACAGTAAAAAAATGGAGTTTCCGAAAAAGCTTGCGTCACATTCAAACAACCAAAAAAAAAAAAAAAGCCGTTTTGAAACGAAAAATCTAAAATTAAGCCGTCTCAAACGAGGCCTAAAAGCTCTAGGAAGGAACTTGTGTGCAAGGTTTATTGAATCACCAAACAAAACAGTTTGAAAATATTAGAGATGAAAAAGAAACATTATCATTTTTGTTGACCCTACAAATCTCAACATTGATCATGTTTTATGATTCTCATTAGTGATTTAATGATAACAAATCTTATGTGAAGTCATATTACAAATTGGTAATGGTATTTACAAGTTATTGCTTTAACAACCATGAAGATGATGACCTTGTTCATTAAACAACTTGAATAGGAGCTCAAGATGGATAATCCAACATGTTCAAAGATGTAATAAAGCTTATTTCTTGGTGTGTTGTGTTTACGATTTCCACCTTTTTTATTATTTTTTTATGGAGAGAAGCCTATCATATATATTTTATTTAAGATAACGTGGGCACAAACCCTTCTAAGAATCAAAAGAATTCCTTCCTCCCGCATTTGCAAAGTCTTGAACTCAAGAACAATAAGGAATATGCTAGTTGAGCGAACAACCACGTCATATGATTAAGGCATCCTTTGGGATTAATTTTTTATTGTTCTTAAAATAATTTTTAAGTATAAAAATTAATTTTTGTATTAAAAAACTATTTTAAGAAGCAGTAAGAAAACCGTCCCAAACGAAGCCCAATAATTAATTAACCTAACACTCAAAGATGATGAACACAATAAGTGTAAATATTAAAGCAAACTAATGTTAATATGTATACGTTTAATCATATTTGATCAATTTTTTTATAATTGAAATGATTTCAAAATGCATACTTGCATATTTGGCATAAATCATCCTTGATATACTTGACTAATAGTTGATTTTTGGATAAAATCATTATTTTCATACAAAACCTATATCCAATCACTTTTGTTTTGCATGAGTTTTAAACGTTTAGTTATTGATGTTAAGGAGTCATGACTAAATTTATCATTTAATTTTTAAATTTATTTTTCAATTGGTGATAAAAATGAGTTTTTGATAAATTTTTTTTTTTTCGAAATATGTTTAATTTATGATATTAGTGGTAGCTCAATGTGGTCTCCGAAAATTCGGCCCCGGCCTCCGCCTGCTGATCGCTTTTCTTTAGCGAGGGAGTTTTAATGAACTAAGTTCCGGGGTAAATTTTGGAAGACAGGTGAGTTTGTAGATAAGACACTACCCAGAGATTTCGCCCTCATTTTGTGAGGACTTTATGATCTGAGTTTTAGTTTCCTATAGGCGTAAGCCCCTATAGTTGATTACCGCTCCCGGTAACGAGAGAGAACTTTTGATTAAGGCTAGTCGACAATCAGATACGTAGAAATACATGTTATCTGGCATATAGTAGCAGCATGAGTTTAGATATTTGAAAAGTTTGGGCGTTTGGAAATTTGGGTTGAGATATTTGAGAAGTTTGATATTTAAAATTGTAAATTTCACCATCTTCACTTAAAGCGAATGGTGGGGGAATGGATGATGGACCCGATCAAGATCCCATGGTTTTGTCATCCGGGGCCATCGTGGCCCTGGTCTACTTAGTCAGAGGAGGTAGTCGACCCAACCTGACAGAAGAATCCTTGTCGGCAACCATGGGTTGCTTCGTCCAAGGGTACCTTGTAGATCTGGGGTGAATGTTTGTCTAAATGGACAAATTTTAATCTACCTTAGCTAACAGAGGGCTCTGTGCCCTGTCAATCATATCCTATTGATTCACATCTCAAGGATTTGATACCATTAAAGAATGTACTAGCTCTGGCCATAACCGATATTTCGTGGTACAATTTGGCGGCAAAACCACTAGGTTCAAAGGGCCCCGGATCATAACCGTTTATCCTGCGGTGCCATTTGGAGGCAAAACCGCTGGTTAGAGGACACGTACCACGTTCTTACTGGCATAAGATTGTTTGATAATGGATCCTAGTGATATTTTCGACTAGGCATTAGCTCTTTGTAAACTGAAGTCAATTTTAATTTGTCCACATCGGTAAACTATTACGGAGGGTGGATGGATTTTGCTTTAAATGTTTGGAGGGTTGGATTTCAGTTTTAAATATTTTGGACTTTGCGGTTTTTGTATTTTCATGAACGTTATGGTGAAATTTAAACTATTTGAAATTAACCCATCCGGTTGAAATAAACATTCAACACGACCATTATCGGGGTGACCTTGAAGTCACTTGAAAATATGTGAATTTTGGTGGAAGTATAAGAACATTTTGAAATGTTTAAAATTAACCCCTCCGGTTGAGATAGACATTCAATACGACCATCATCGGGGTGTTCAGGAGGTCATTTTCAATTGAAAATATTTGTATTTAATGGATGAACCTTGTCAACTTTGTCGAGTTATCGACAGAGGATTAAGTTTTATAAGCTCTATGCCTTGCTGGTTGTGGGCTCCGAAAATTCGTCCCTGGCCTCCGCTCGCTCTTTTCTTTCGGCTAGGGAGTTTTAACTGAATAAGTTCCGAGGTAAATTTTGAAAGGCAGATGGGTTTGTAGATAAGACACTACCCAGAGATTTCGCCCTCATTTTGCGAGGACTTTATGATCTGAGTTTTGATTTGCTATAGGCGCAAGCCCCAATAGTTAATTACCCCTCCCGATCACGAGAGAGAACTTTCGATTAAGGCTAGTCGTCAATCAGATACGTATAAGTACATGTTATCTGGCATATAGTAGCAGCAATGATTGGATTTAGAAATCAGGATTTGGATTTGAGAATTTGGAGAGTTTGATATTTAAAATAGAAATTGCACCATCTAGCACTTAAAGCGGATGGTGGGGGAATGGATGATGGACCCGATCAAGACCCCATGGTTCCGTCGTCCCGGGCCATCATGGTCTCTGGTCTACTTAGTCAGAGGAGGTAGTCGACCCAACCTAACAGAAGGATCCTTGTCGGCAGCCATGGGTTGCTTCGTCCAAGAG